CAGGGTCTTGGAGGTCACACCAAGGTAGGTCTAATTGAGTGTAGAGGGAGCGTGTCTCTCGTGATCCTTGTGTTCAGTAGTGAGTTAGAGGTGCAAGAGAAGAGGGTGAACAGTTGGGAATTTCCCCAAAGAACAAAGTGGGCAATTGATGGAAGACTTCCGGCTGGATCTCTGTCTTTTTTTTTTTAAGATTTATTTATTTATTACATATACATGCCAGAAGAGGGCACCAGATCTCATTATAGATGGTTGTGAGCCACCATGTTGCTGGGAATTGAACTCAGGACCTCTGGTAGAGCAGTCAGTACGCATAACCTCTGAGCCATCTCTCCAGTCCCCTGGATCTCTGTCTTTAGGAGAGTCCAGCTGCGCCTGTTCGTATGGTTTCTGTTTGGGGTTTTTAGTTTTGGTTGGTTGGTTTTGTCTTATTACAATATTCCCACCTCAGTTTTCCAAGTGCTAGGGACTGCAGTTGAGAGCTGTTCTTAGCTACTCTCTGGTTTTGAATACTTGGTGTCTGGGCCTGTCTCCTCATTCATGCTATGTTGATTTCCACCTTCAGAAGTTATGGTCAGAACAAGAAGCATCTGCATTGGGTGGGCTTGGCCGGGAGTCCCTGCTCTCGGGGTGGTGTGTGGCCTGTCAGGTGCTCTGAACTTGCTGCCTCTGCTCTAGGCGCGGCTGACCTGCCCCTGCTGCAACACCCGCAAGAAGGACGCAGTGCTTACCAAGTGCTTCCACGTTTTCTGCTTCGAGTGTGTGAGGGGCCGCTATGAGGCCCGCCAGAGGAAGTGCCCCAAGTGCAACGCGGCCTTTGGTGCCCATGACTTCCATCGTGTGTACATCAGCTGAACCTGAAACTCAGGAGACTTTGAAACATCCATATACCCTAGGGGCTGTGCCCCAGCTCCCCACTCCCCCAGGGGCAATGGCCCCGGCTCCCTTTCCAGACTCCATGAACCCTGCCCCTATGTACCTAGATGGTTTGGGGCCACTGGTGCATGCAGGAGAGGTGGGTTAACCAAGCTGAGTGCCATCTTTTCCTGAAGGTCAGATCTGCAGCCTAGGGCACTTTCCCAGATTCATAGCATCACCTGTAGCCTTGGGAGCTGGCCTAACCCTGTTTCTACTGGAGAGACAGATCCATCCTTACCCCTAAAGGGGAATTCCTCCACCAGGAAAGGGCTCACCACCTGCCTCCACAACCTCAGTGATGACCAAGGACCCCTTGCTTAGCGTTGAGTCTTGGGCCCAGGGAGCCTTTCTTCACCTAATTGGCTCCAGGCCTGGTCGGGCTTTAGCCTTCCAGTGGAGTTAACTGTACCCTGGTATATAGCTTTTGTGCTGAAGGTGCAGCCTTGGGTGTCTGCCCTATTCAGGGAAACTCTGCATTTACAGAGCCTGCCTCCTCATATTGCTGATTCAGGGTCGTCAATTTCTTTTAGCCAGACACGTCCCAAAGCCCTCTTTACCCTTATCACACATCCTGATGCTCCCTCGAGACCTGCCCTAGCCGTGCTTTCATCCTGGTGGTCTTAATTGTAGAGGTGCAGCTTGCCAGAAGGGAAGGGACAATCTAGCACTTCCAGTCATTCCAAGGTAGAGCTTTGCCTGCTGTCCTGTGGCTAGCCTGTTCTCAGAATCTCCCTGTAGGACCGGGCTGAACAGCCTCAACAGAGAAGATGGGACCCTGTGGAGCTGGGAGATGGCGCTGCAGACAGCTATAAGGTCTTTTGGACTCACAGCCTCTAGTCTAGAGGTGTTGTGTGTGGGCTGCTAATTGTTAAGAATAAATACCCAACCCTAGGCTGCAGAGTAGCCCGTCCATTTGGTCTAAACAAGTCTAGGTACTACACCTGGCCTTCCCTGAGTTGGTGTGGAGCTGGGTACATTTGGGAGCCCGCTCCAGCCCACCCAACAACTTTGTGGGTCCCAGTGAGCAGTGGCGAGCTTATCTGCAGAGACCTTTTTCAAGGAGCAACCAGACCCACACTGGAGAGACCCTTAACCACGCCCTTAGCGGTCATTGGCCGTTCAGGTAACAGCTTTTCGGTTGCATCCTGGGAGATGTAGTCTCTTGGCTCAAAGTGTGAGGGCTTTTTTTCCTGTTGCACTGACCAAAGGCGGGTAAAACTTTCAGTTACTGGCAGACTTTACCCACTCCTACTCTGCGAACACACAGATCATGACACCTCAGCACGGTGACTTTTCATTGTAACCTTCCAGCCACTCTCTGGACCATTGGGAAACGTTTACCTAAACGTGGAACGTTGTTTCTAGATTTGGAGTGCTGTCGGCTCCTCCGGGGCAACTTTGATGGAAGTCACGCTGAGCCTAGCGCCATGGTCGCTGCTGAGCTGGGTCGGAGTGGGGGTGGAAGCAGCGGTCATAGCCATGGTGGTGGCCTCAGGCTTAACAATAGTAGTGCCTTCTCGGGGCTCTTCGGCCTTTTCTGCCGTCTTTACTTCGGGAGGACTCCGGGCCCTCTCTGCTTTCTGACCCCGCCTGGTTTCAGTGGGGTCACACCGGCTGAACCAAGTTGGACTGGAGACAGAAGTGCGGGCAACGGTGACCTCGGGAGTGGAGCTGACAGCGATGGGAACGCTCGCAGAAGCACGAGTCGCTGCAGGGGATGACATTGGGCCACCAAGAAAGCACCCTGACTGTAGTGCTGGGGTGGTTAACGTGGGAAAGACGGGAGAAACACAGGGTATTGCGTCATAGAGACACAGCCACCTGAGCTAGTAGAACTAGTGTCTGAGAGGCCTGTGCGCCGGCGCATCACCAGCATGATCCTCCTATCATGGTCACTTGGGCTCCCTAAGTAAATGCATACCTATTCCCTCAGAGGCAAGCCCTCAAATGGGTTGGGGTACTCAAACCTTCATGTGTGGTGGTAACACCTAACAGTATAAAGTAAAGCATACCACTTCCTCACATCAATCAAACTTAAGGAGATGGGCTAAAGGTTCCAGGGTCCCAAAGCCTGGAGAAGTCTTCCCGCCTCAGCAGGGGAGTGAAAACATCACTGTCACGTGGGTGCGCAGGATCTGTCTTAAATGGCTGATAAGCTTTCTTTGCTTGACAGGGTCATAGAGATAGACAGGTGAGTCAGAACTCTTCCCTGGCCAACGCAGGCACCGCCTCAGCATTTGGTGGGGACTACTCCCAGAACTTACCCCAGGCTTTGGTGCTGCATTCAATGGCCTGCCTCATGGTCACTGCCTTCTGGTCTCTTCCTTCAAGCATAACCAGACTTCCCTTTGCACCTAGCCTTTCTCTGAGGCGTTTACCCAGGGACAAAACTACAGGTAAGCCACTGAAACCCAAATCCTGTGGTTCTTTCCCAAGCTCCAGACCTGAAAATCGATGTTAAGGCCGTGTGAGGGACTGTGTGACTGGGCCTCTCACACACTAACCTTCCTCAGGCTTGGCCTCTGTTCTGGCTGCATCTCTCTCCATCCTCCCTTATTCGCTAGACCAGTGCTTCTCCACCTTCCTGTGACCCTTTAATATGGGTCCTCATGCTGTGGTGACCTCCAAGCATGAAATCATTTTCATTGCTGCTTCATAACTAATCTTGCTGTTCTGAATGGTGTTGTACATGTCTGTGTTTTTCAATGGTCTTAGGTGACCCTTGTGAATAGGTTGTTTCACCCCCAAAGGAGTCATGACCCTCTGCTCTAAGTCAATCCCCAGCGGTTTGACTCCTGTCCCCATCCCATCCCTGACTTCCATGCAAAGAATTCCCTATTCTTGAGACCGCTATACTCGGGGGTTAAGAGCCCTGTGCTCCTCCAGACAACCCGGTTCAGTTCCCAGCACCCACGGCTGCTAACAACCATCTGTACCTCTACTTGCCAGGTCTGTCCCCTATTCTGTCCTTTGCGGGCACTGCATGCACACGGATGCTCAGACACATGCAAATAAAACACCCATACACATCAATTTTTTGTTTTTTTGAGACAAGGTTTCTCTGTAGCTTTGGAGGCTGTCCTGGAACTAAGTAGACCAGGCTGGCCTTGAACTCACAGAGATCAACCTGCTTCTGCCTCCTGAGTGATGGGAGTAAAGACATGCGCCGCCACCACCCTCCCCCTAGCCAATTTTTTTTTAATTAAAAAAAAAAGTCAGGGATATACCCTTTCTGCCTTCAGCAAGAGTCAGAGACAGGTATGACCAGTGTTGCTCACAGGCAGCCACTTAGGGGCCCACGATCAGACTCAGAAGACAGGCACTGGCACTGAGGACTTCCTCGTAGTTGTCCCAGCTGCCTTAGATGAAACCTAGTTCTCAGCAGGCCCAACCTTAGGAGAAAAGCAATGGCTTGTGGGGAAGTGGCCTCAGGCCTCCAGGCCACTCGACTTCCCGCATGATTTCCTATGGGTCTGGGTGAGTGAGTGGCTGCACTTCTAGACCCTCAGCTTCTCCCATGGGGAGGACCTATAGGCTATCCTGGGGATGAGACAACAAACCAGGCACCACTCACCTCTCAAAAAGGAGGGGCTGAGGTCAGCCCTGGACCTAAGAGAACCCACAAGGGTAGTGGGCAGCTCTGAGGACTAACTAGGTCCTGGGAGCTTTTCCTTGTGCTGCTGGGGAGGCTGCAGGTATTATAGGCAGGGAAGCAGCCAGGTAACCAGAACCAGAGTCACCAGGTAGCCATTTAGCTTACTGAAGTGCTCTCTCTCTCTCTCTCTCTCTCTCTCTCTCTCTCTCTCTCTCTCTCTCTCTCTCTCTCTCTCTCTCTCTCTCTCACACACACACACACACACACACACACACACACACACACACGACTATAGATATTTAAAGTTCCATAATCCTGTCAACCTTCCCCAAGCAAACACTGGACAGGGAGCACAGGGCCCCCAGGAAAGGGGCAAGCTTGGGACAATACAGAGCTTTTAGGGTCCTCAGGGGTCCTAGTTGTGGGAGAGGACAAATTCTGAGCTTGCTGTTGGCTGAACAAGTAGAAAGAAGAAAAGAAAACACCTGGGAACTCTTACTCCCTTTATTCTCTTCAACTATTCAACATGACCACTGGTGACACAACACTGTTACTGACACAAGACACTCAAAAATAGGACTTCCCTTCACTCCATAGGGAGAAGTCAAGTGATCGGGGCTTCCTTTGTGGAGGCAAAGGATTCTGGGAGCCACTCACTTCAGACGGGGATCATGATGGTTTCAAGTCCTCTTCCCAATTCAGGGCTCATACCCAGTTCCTTTATGCGCCCTATTTGACCTCCACACTCAACACCAGTTCTAAGTTTCCCCTGAGTGCAGATCAGCCCCGCCCTCTCCTATGCTTGTGCTCCTCTGCCCATGGTTGCTGGGCTCTTCCCCAGGGGCACTTCTGAGGGCTCTGGCCCAGTATGGAGTTGGCGCCATTATGCCTTCCAGACTTTATTTTGGTGGACCTTTTCCTGAGCCAGTTACAAGACTGGGTCCTACAACAGATTCTCTAAATGGTGTAGCTAGGTCTGAGAAGGAGGTAGCCAAGAGAACAGGTCTCACCTCGAGGTCTCTGCTCTGCCTTTTTCCTAGTAGGAAACCCAGTCACCACCTATCCACATGGTCCACTCAATACTGGAGTCAAGACCATAGCCCTCACTTGTCTCCTGAACATGTGAGCATCTTATTACATACGCTACATCTTAGTTCTCGATAGTCTACAATTGGCCATGACTACACAGACCGCCTGCCCCCAGCAGTCTTCTGATGACAGACTTTCAGACCCGGGTCTGAGGGAATCTGCTCCTACACAGGATCTCCCTCTAGTTTCTGCTACCACCTTAGAAGGGGACGAATCAACTTTACTTAGAGTTATCTACTCCATTTCTGTCAATATACAGACTCCTCCCCGTCTCCATGGTGCTCCCCTGCCTGGTACTTGGGACTCTAGCAAGGCTCTCTGTAATCGTATAAGGCCTGCCTTTTCTCTCTTCCCAGGAGGACTGGCATTTTTCTCCCAGTATTCTAGATTTTGGTCCTTTAAACAGGATGGGTGATGGGTCTCTACCTTTTGAACTTTTAGGTAATGGAATCAGAGGTCTCTTCCACAGCTTTGTAGATACCCAGGTCACTCTTCTGGGCACAGGACTCCTAAAGAGCCATATCACTTGTGTCTCAGTCCTCCTACTCTGGATAGTATGTCACTAATGCCAGCACTGGGCTAAGGACACCCCCTTTGCAACCAAATATGAGGGACAGTCCTTCCCATCTTTAAGGGTTTTTGTTACAGATGCTTGTGCCGAAGTTTTTCTTCAACCACTTTTAGGGCAACTGTGTCTGCTTCATCAGAGAGCTCCAGTCACGTGAGCAGGTTTGGTTGGACTAAATGAGGCATCTAGCCTGTGGTGTCTGAGGAGGAGATGGGCCTGGAAAGGAAGCATTTCTCAGCCTTTCATTTCCCTCGAATGGTTCCTGGCTAAGGAGAGAAAGGCCAAAAGGATCAGGTAGAATCTTTCCCTTCCCCGAGTCAGGATCAAATTTGGCCAGCCCATCTCAAGGGTATCCAAGTACTGGGATGAAGAAGGCGGTCAAGTTTCCATTGCCTCTTCAAGGACTCTGGTCCAGTCTGTGCCATGTCAGGACGTCCACCACGTGCAGCCTGGCTCATCCTGCAGGCAGCCTTACATAGAGTTCACACAACAGGCTGAGGTTTACATCGTGTTGCTGGTAAATCAAAGCTGTCTATTCTGTTGTCTGCCATCCCTCGTCACCACAGAGAACCCACAAGTGGCTCTCATGAACTTGCAGAAGTCTAGGGAGGACAAGCACATACAAGCCTTGACTCTCTGAAGGAATTTATTCTTTGGAAGTTGACTAGCAGCGAGTGGCTCTCTCCACTGAGGACAGAATTCGAGGAAATGGGTTGCCACTACAGTAAGATTTGTGGCAGTTAGCTTTCAGGTAAAACCTGTGAGACCTGAGAATGTGGCAGAGGCCCCTTGAAACCCCAGAGGCCTCTCAGAGTAGACATCTGCAGCTGGGCTGGGGAAAGGCTGGTCCTGCCTGTCTGAGGAAGCCTGACAGCCTGACTGGGACCTGCTTGCACTTGAAGTTTAACAAGCTCCCAGGAGGAGGAACTGGCTAGCTTCCACCTGCAGTTTCTCCACTGTGCTTTGCTTTCCTTCAAACAAATATAACTCTCCCCTAATAGCTGAAGTGGTTTCTCAACATTTTCTCACTATTCTTACACTTGAGGTTTGTTATACACCTCAAACTCCAGCCTTTAAAATGGCTTGCCATTTTTGCTTCTTTCCCATTTGGGGGCTCTTATTGGTAAGGAAGCCCCCCAGTCTTCCTTTCCCTAGTTCACACAATTCACCAAAGAGCCCCCAGAGCAACGGACGTCTTGTCTCACCTGCGGGTCTGGAAGCACCTAGTCATTCTCTCCCCATTTCGTTTTCTAGCGCTACTGCGTTCCTGCATGACTTCCTCATGATCACTGTCCTCTGTCCAAGGCTGCCAGGGGAGAATACTAGGAAGAGTTCAGGTGTTCCTCCACCACCCAGGGCACTCCCTAGTCAGTGCCGCCTGTATTCTCTAGGCCTCCACCACCCTACAGGATTCTGATAAGGACTTTGATACAGTTTTATGGGTTTGTCTAGAAACAAGTTAGAACCTCTTCCTACAATTAATAGGGCTTTTACCCACTATGGTTTATAGGATTTCTCTGCTACAGACTTAAAGGGCTTTTTTTCCTACATACTTATAGGGCTTCTAACCCAGCAGTTTTTCTCTACAGCTTATAAGGGGTTCCCACCCACAATCTCACAGGCTTCAAATCGCTGATGCAAATGCACTATTTCTTCCCAGGGTCCTTGACCCTCCGCTTCTCTATGATCTGATGGGGTTGTCCTGCTTTCCCCACATTCTCAGGAGAGAGAGGTCCCTGGTCTCCAGACCTACTTCACAGGGAGACACCTGGGTGACAACTCCTGTGGAGGAGGAGTGTCGCAACTTCTGTGAAGCCATCTCCACATTCAGGACACACATAGGGCTTTTCCTGTGAGAGAGTTTTAGGACTTCCCTCTTCCCTATGGCTGCCACCTGTTGGGGGCATAGAGGCCTCTCCCTCATCTTCCCGGTTTGTGGACAGGGTGGCTGGCTCTGAGGGGGGGTCTTCAGGAGTGGGGGCTCTTTCTTGAGTGTGGGTTTCCTGGTGGCGGGTAAGTGCTAGTCGATCGAGGAAGGAGGTCCCACAATCAGGGCAGTTGTAGGGTCTGGCCCCCAAGGGGCTCCTGAGATGTTCCAACAGCACTGATGAGCTCTTGCCCAGCTCCGAGCGCTTCTGGGACTTCCCGCCCGCATGGACTTTCTGGTGCTGCAGCAGCTCAGAGCTCAGGCCAAAGCTTTTTTTGCACTCTGGGCATTTAAAGGGCTTTCCACTTAGGAAAGGACTGGGCTCTGCCCCTTCCCCAAGGCCAGTCCTACACTCGGGAAAGAGAAAAGGCTTTTCGTTGCCGTGGGTGAGCTGATGTTGCAGGAGCACAGCCCTGTCGAGGAAGCTTTCTCCACAGTGGGAACAAACATAGCACTTTGAGGAGAGCTGACCTAGCCTTTGGCTGAAGCCCTCCTGACCCTCAGGCACTTTCAAGGACTGTCCTGGGGGGTCAGCTCTGCCCTCGGAAGCACCTGGGTGTGAATTGCCTGCAAAGGGGAACCTGGGGGAACGGAACTGCGGAGGCTTGGGGGCCGAGTGTGCTGTGAGGCCGTCTGCATTTTTGTATGGGTTTTCTCCGATGTGAACCCGCTGATGCTGCATGAAGATGCCCTCATCATTGAAACCCTTTCCACAGACCAGACACTTGTGGGGTTTGGCTCCTGGTGGCGGGGTCAGCAGGGCAGGCTCCCCGAGCCCTAGCAAGCTGTCACTCTGAGCTCTCCGGGCAGGTGTCTTGCCTCTCTCATGGATCACACGGTGCTGCTCCAGCTCCTGAGCCTCCAGGAAGGCCTTGCCACAGTCTGAGCACACAAAGAGGTTCTCGTCCATGTGTGTGCGGACGTGTGTGATTAGGTTGGAGCTCTGGCTGAAGCTCTTGCCGCACTCTGGACACTTGTAGGGTTTCTCGCCCGTGTGTGTGCGGCGGTGCTGGATGAGGTGCGAGCTGCGGATGAAGCTCTTGCCACAGTCAGAGCACTTGTAGGGCTTCTCACCTGTGTGAATCCGCTGGTGGCGGATGAGCGTGGAGCTCATGATGAAGCTTTTGCCGCAGTCGGCGCAGATGTAGGGCCGCTCCCCGCGGTGGATGCGCTGGTGGTTGATGAGGTTGGAGCTGACGCTGAAGCTCTTGCCGCACTCGGGGCACTTGTAGGGCCGCTCGCCGGTGTGTGTGCGCTGATGGCGCAGCAGCGTGGCGCTCAGCGTGAAGGTCTTGCCACAGACAGGGCACTTGAAGGGGTCCTCTCGGAGGTGTGTCCGCTGGTGCTTGATGAGCGTGGAGCTGTGGCCAAAGCTCTTGCCACACTCCAGGCACTCGTAGGGCTTCTCCCCAGTGTGAGTGCGCTGGTGCTGGGTCAGCTCTGAGCTCTGAATGAAGCTCTTGCCGCACTCGGTGCAGCGATATGGCTTCTCCCCTGCGTGGATCTTCTGGTGCTTGAGCAGGTTGTGATTCTGACCGAAGCGCTTGCCACACTCTGGGCACTTGTAAGGCTTTTCGCCTGTGTGTGTGGCCTGGTGCTGGATGAGGTCTGAGCTGCGGTAGAAAGCACGCCGACACTCGCCACACTTGTAGGGCTTCTCCCCAGTGTGGGACCGCTGGTGCTTGATGAGGTTGGTGCTTTGTGTGAAGGCTTTCTCACACTCGGTGCACTTGTAGGGCTTCTCACCGGTGTGCGTGCGCTGGTGCTGCACCAGATTGGAACTCCAGCTGAAGCACTTGCCACAGTCGGGGCACTTGTAGGGCTTCTCGCCTGTGTGCGTGCGCTGGTGCTGCACCAGATGTGAGCTCTGTGTGAAGCTCTTGCCGCACTCTGAGCACGTGTTGGGCCGCTCCCCCGTGTGGATGCGCTGGTGCCGTAGCAGCTTGGACCACTGGCTAAAGCTCTTGCCGCACTCGTTGCAGATGTAGGGCTTCTCAGCCCCAGAAGGGCGGCCCTGCACCAGCTCCCGCAGGCTGGGTTCACTGGCAGTGACTACTGGGGTGCTGTTCCAGGTGGTGAGGGTTCCCCACTGCCAATTGGTCTCACAAGCCTTGGTCCACTGAGATGGGGAAGGGACCTCAGGGGCTGATGGGTCCATAGGGGTCTGGTGGTCTAAGGGGTCGGAAGAACCAAGTGGGACTGGGGAATCCTGAGGGGCTGAGGCATCCTGGGAGGGGCTCTCCAGGGGCATCTCTGCTGGGTCCTTGGATTCTGGACTCTGAGCTGGATCTCCCAAGATGATCTCCTCCCCAGAACTTTCCTGTTGAGGGCTCTCTTCTTCATTCCCACTTCCAGCACCTAGAGACAGAAAGGGAGTCTCCAGCCCCCATCTCCTTTCAGAACATGGGGTCTGGTCTCTCTTCCCTCCCCTATGACTGCCCAGAGTTTGGCCCCCTCCCTGAACCAGGGCCACTGTCTCATCAGAGCCACAGGCCCTTGCGCCCCTCACCTCTGTGAGCATTGTCCCGGCTCTCTTCAGGACCCTGCAGATCTGGGCCCCACAGCACTGTCTCGGGCTCCATCCCAGAGCTCCCGACTGCAACGGTTCCAGCTGCTCTGGTGGGGAGAGATGGGCACATAATGCGACCTGCTGTGTGCTTCTCTGGTGCCCCCACTGGTGTGACTCTCAGTGACCTGCCACTGACTTTTCCCGCACCATCTCTCCCTGAGCCCTGCGGCCCCAGAGGCCTGGTTCCAAACGCTGCAGATGGCAACTCGGTGAATGTAAAGAGTCATTAAAAACTCATCAGTCATAACCCTTTGTACCTAGACTGAAGGCTGAGCGCTATCCAGCACTCACAGGGGAGGCAGGCTTTCACCCCACACATCCGATGCCCAGAGGCCTGGAAACGTGCTATTTTGCAAATCAGACAAAGCTCATTAAGACTCCAATTTTCTTCCTTTATGGGACTGCTAATTGAGACCAATAAACTTTTCCTTTATGAGCTCCAGAGAGAACTGAGACTTGTACTTTTTAAAGGGTTAAAAAAAAGTTTCCCTGAAGGGACAGACTCACAAGGACTGGGCACTTTGCCCTTCATGATCCACCACGCACAGAAAGAGGGTCAGTCTGGGGTGGGAAAGGCAAGTCTGAGGTCAGGGGCTCCTACAGAAGACTCAGGGAGGGGAAAAAGAAGGGAGTGGAAGGCTGGATGGTGGCATACTTGGGGATAGAAACAGGAGGGCCAGAGGGTCAAGGTCAGTCAGTTTCGTGGGATTGTGCCTCAAACAAAATGAGGGGAAAAGGAAGGCAGGAAGGTGGTGGGCAAGGGTGTGGAGAACACCGGGGAGGACATGGCTACCAGCGTCATTATTTCCCTCACTGCCTTGGGAGACTCAGAAACCCATTTTACAGATTAGTAGAGCAACATGGCGGGGGGGGGGGTGTCCTTCAAGGCCTCTAACTGGGAAGCAGCAGAGCTAAGACCACAGATGGGGTATTCTGTGTTTGGTTTGTCCCTGTGTCTGAAAGCATGAGTGACCTTGACTGTCACATGAGACTAACTTGCGGGCTCCTGGCAGAAGAGTGAGGGATAAGGCTCAGAGCCAGCCCCTGCTGTGAGAATGGACCGGAGAAATTCCGGGGAGCAGAATTTCCTTGGTTGTAAGGAGTTGGGCCGAGTGTCAAGGTCTGAGAAACTGGGTCTCTGAGCTCTTCGTAATGCTGTCCCTAAAGCCATCTATTGCCAGACCATCTTTCTGTCGGTGTTTTCTCACATGCCTAGGACAGGTGCCCGGTAAAAACTTTGTTGGATGACTGAATGAGCTAAACACCCCTTGCTCTTGGAAACCTATTTGGGTCAATGTCTTTAACGACCGGTCAGTTGGCAGCAGAGGGAAGTCAGAAAAGGAAAGCAAATTCAGTGTGAGCCCCCTGGGAAAGGAATCATCTGTCACTCAAAATCGCGATGACTCCCAGGAGAGAGAACAGGACCACAGGAGCAAAGTGCAGGAGGGCGCTCACACTGACACACTTAACAGATCCCTGGAGTGGCCTAGACTTGGGGTGACAGCGTGGACAGGGACAAAAGCTCTCCAGGAGGCGGCTAAGGAGCAGCAGTAGAGGCAGAAGTCAGAGTAAAGGAAGAAAATAAATTTCATCTCCACAGTCTCTCCCGATCTGTAAATGTCTTTAGGGGAGATGGAGACCATCGGAGGTGCCTCCCCGGATGGCAGAGAGGTACTCCGCCGAGCGGACCAATGACAGGTAAGAGCTGGGACCGAGAAACTTAAACTCAGGGGCCTACCTTCGAAGGGAAAGGGTTAATGGCAAGGCCACATGCAAGAAGTAGCGAAGACAGGGAGGCGAGAACTACTGGGAACCAGCCCAGGCCCAAGAGCGCCAGCCTCCAGCCCCGCAGGGCCCCCAGAGGACCGAGGCGGGAAGGACGGCCCGCGGCGGCTGCCTTCCCGCGGAGGTGCGCGCGGCCCAGGGTGACCCTGACAAGGAGGCAGCGGGACCGCCCTCGACGCCGCCCCCCGCACCCAGGCGGACCCGGACTCGAGCGCTTCTGGCCCGGAGCGCCGACCCTGTTCCCGGCCCCGAAAGCCCAGCCGAGCCGCCAGCGTCCCCACCCCGCCGCGGACGCCCAGGCTTCCCGGTTCCCGGAGAGCTGCGGCCGCCTCGCCGCCCCCGGCCGGACTCGCTCTCCGGGCGTGCGCGCCTCCCCTCCCCCACGGCGGCCCTCGCGCGGCTCGCACAATCCCCCGGCCGCCGCCCCCGCCGCCCCGGGCCCGGCCTGCTCCCCGCACCCGTCGTCGCTCCCTTGGCCCTATTGTTCCCCGGCGGCTGTCCCGGGCCTCCAGGCCACCCCGGGAACCCAGGGGGCCCCAACTCACGGCTCTGGGGTCTGGGAAAAGCCGGAAGGCAAGAGTCCAGCCCCAGGGGACTTAACCCCTTAAGTGCCCTGCCTCGGGGGACGGGCTGGATGCCGAGAACTCTAGGGCCCTTCTCAAGGGGTGATTCCAGGCTGAGGACCCGGGGACCAGTTCAGGGTGACTGGGACGGAGCAGGAAGTGACCCCAGCTTCCCGGGCCCCTCTAGCCTGGAGTCAGAACATCAGCTCTATGGGATTTAACCCTTTGCCTCCCACGGCCTGGGAAAAGAATGGGGAGGGGAGTACGGAAGCAAGGAGGTGGCCGATGACGCCCCCCCTCCCTGTGTCTAGTGGGATCGCTCAAGACCAGCTTTTAGGGGAGCTCAGAGGCCGGCGAGGGTCTCCGGATTTCTGGCCGTGCTCTCTCTCCAGAGGCTCTGCCAGCCGCCCAGTTAAGCTGATCTCAGATTCGGCCGCGGCGGGTCCCCTGAGACCGGCCTTTGTTTGGACTCACCCTGGGATGGGACTGGTGTGCCTGAGTTGGTGACTAGGAGGTGGGAGCAAAGGTTGGGTGGGCAGACCGGGTCCAGCAGTAAGAGCAGAGGCTGAAGGGCCAGGCAAGACTAGCCTGTGCTACGTGGCCCCGCCCCCACCCCGTCCCACCACTCCCCTCTGTCCCACCACCCCTCAAATCCTCCTGCTCCCCCCCCCCACCTCCCCGTCCTGCCTCCTTAGAGGAGGAAACTGAGGTCCTGGATGGCAGCAGAAAAACCAGAGTAGGGTTCCTGGCCAAGGTAGGCAAGCATTATTCGCTGCATCCCCGAGTAAAGTACCCAATTCACAGTCAGGCAGTCCTTCCAAACTAGCAAGCCAGAAGTAGTGGTGAATGCCTGTAACTCTATTGCCGGGGGCAGGAGGAGGGGGTGGGATGGGAGAATCAGCAAATTCGAAGTCAGCCTGGCCCACATAGTTCCAGGCCAGCCACATAGTGAGCCCCTGCTTCAAAACAACCCAGTGACCTCCCAGAACCCAGGTAACTGAGCTCCCAAATTTTTCCAGCTTGTGTCTCATTTTCTCCTCACCACAATCCCAAGAGAGAACTCTGAATTATCCCTGTTTTACAGACAAGGCGAACAAGATATGAGATGTGAGGTAAAATATGTAAGGCCACGCTCTTAAGTGAACCCAGGTGTGAGGAGGCCAGAGTTGAACTTTCTACCCTCAAAAAGCTGAATAGTATTCAGGCTTGGCGACACATGCCTGTAACCTTCAGCCATTAGCAGGCTAAGGCAGGAGAATTTAGAGCTGGAAGTTCAAGGTCAACCTGGGCTGTACAGTAGGATCGGCCTCAAACCGTAACTAAATGAAGTAAGCCCTGTGTGGGAATGCATAGCTGTAATGCTAGCACTCTGGAGGCTGAGGCAGGAGGATCACTGTAAACGTAAGGCCAAACTGGTCTAGACAGTGAGAGCTCTGTGTTCAAACACAGATAAATACTGACTTGTGATTGTGACCAAGATGTTCAACATGGCCGGGCGTTGGTGGCGCACGCCTTTAATCCCAGCACTCGGGAGGCAGAGGCAGGTGGATCTCTGTGAGTTCGAGACCAGCCTGGACTACCAATCGAGTTCCAGGACAGCCTCCAAAGCCACAGAGAAACCCTGTCTCAAAAAAACCAAAAAAAAAAAAAAAAAAAAAAAAAAAAAGATGTTCAACATGTAAAGACAGCTGTACTTAAAGAATCCATGGGAAAATTGCTTCAGTTTGTAAACTGCTAGTTTGGGAAATGTACCCTGTCAGCAATCTTGCCCGAGACAGATGACTTCCCAGAATAGTTAGCTAATATTAAGAAACTACCTCTATTGTTTCTTCAAGACAATGGGTCCTGGCAAATAACCACTAGTTTTGCTTTTTAAAAAAACTGCTTGCTTAATGGAGATAATTGAGGCACCTGTGGGATGTCTGTTATAAAATTAGGCACTGCTTACACAAAGGCAGGATGTGAGTTTACTTCCTAACCCTGACCCCTCCCCCCAAAAAAACTGTTGTAGCTTTTTGTTTTGTTTTGTTTTTTTCCTTTATAAACTCTGAACTAACATCAGATCTGGAACATAGGCAGAGAATTATGGGTCTCTGGTGTGGTCTTAGCCAGCAATTTTTAATAAAACCTCTTATTTGTTTAAAAACAAACACCCGGGCATGATGGTGCTTTCCTTTAATCCTAGCACTTGGGAGACAGAGGCAGGTGGATCTCTGTGAGTTCATGGCCAGCCTTGTCTACAAAGCAAAATTCCAGGACAGCTATGGAGTTACACAGAGAAAACCTGTCTTGAAAAGCAAAAACCCGCAACAACAAAACACTAATAGATTGATGAATCTCTGAAAGACCCCAAGCTCATAACTGTGTGTGTGTGTGTGTGTGCTCGAGTGCAAGTATACGTACACACACATGCACCATGCACAAAGAAACCATAAGAGAATGTGGAGTCAGACAGGATGGTAGAGGGAGAGCTGAGGCTCTGACAACCCAAGTGTCAGAAATTGCAAAGGGATACAGTTCTCTTGGCATCTAGGGTTTAGAGTGTGGCTTCAGGCTCCCCAACTCCAGCAAGTTCCTTAACCCACATTCCCTCCAGGCCCTCACCTAGCTTGTCTCTGGTTCTAATAGTCCTCTTAGCTCCTCCCACAATCACTAGGTCCCCTACCTCCTCCTCCTCCGTCGTTCATACCCTGTGACAGGGAACTTAAACTCTGCTGTCCCTTTTTACCTGTCCTCTACAGCATGCTAAAGTCAGCTTTGCTCGGACAGGGCTTTGCTTTGGTATCTACTGATGTGTCCCCAGGGCACACAACAATTGTAGACAGTGCTCAATTTGTTGAACAGACTGCAAAAGCTGGGCCCAGCCCTGGGGCAGGAGAAACTGCCGGAGAGCTGCGGGCTGGAGGTGCAGAGATGAGACTAATTAGTCCAGCAGAGGTTTTGTTTGTTTACTTTCTGTTTTAGCTGGGCTAATTGCTACATTTAACAATCGGCACATAAAAGTCAGGTGTGTTTGCACCTGTAGTCTCAGCCTAATCGGGAATCTGAGGCAGGATGACCACGGGAATCTAGAAGTTTGAGACCAGTTTGGGCAACACAGTGAGGCAACTCCTAAGATTCGCATCTCTCTGCTTCTCTGGAAAACCCAAAGATGTAACTGAGTGAAATCGAGGAAATGCCCATCCCAAGTTACGGTTGAGGAGAAGGGTTTTGTAGATAGGAGGGAGTGGACTGCCAAAGACAGCTGAAGAGTCCAGGGAGAAAAAGAAGTAGACTAAAATGGCCATTTGACTGAGCCAGAGGAGACGGAGATGAGATCAAAGAGAGATCCGAGAGGGCAAAGAGGGCATGTGACAGAAATGGCCGGGTTACTTAGGAAAGAGAACTGGGGGAAGGGAAGCCCATGGGCTGAGAAGGTGTGGGTAGGGGTGAGTGAGAAGAGCAGAGAGGAAGCCGCAGGCACTGAGTGAGCCCGGTGGCCTGTGGTGTGCACCATGGCACGCACCTCAGCCTATTGTCCTGGGTTTCTTTGGGACCTGACAGTAACAATATATTCAGTGTCGCTTGTCACAGACTGGTGATAGACAGACAGAAGCTTCCTTACTCAAGTGTCCCAGCGTCATCCCTGTGTCCTCAGCTCTCAAAGCTGAGAGACAGTGTCACTCATAAATGCCCTTCCCTATCGATTTAACTACAAGGTGTTTTTTTTTCTTCATCTTTTCATGTGTCCCCCACGCTCAGAGTCTGACATTACATTTCATTTATTTAGGCTTTTGAAATAGAATCACATTGTGCAGCCCTGGCTGGCCTTGAACTCTGTAGACCAGGCTGGCCTTGAACTCACAAAGGTCCGCCTGCCTCTGCCTCCCGAGTGCTGGGATCAGTGGTGTGCGCCACAGTTAAGACTAAAACCCAGGTGCCACACCACGGCTCTTAACCATGATTCGTGGATGAGTTCAAGTGTGTCTGAACTAACACAGAGGCCTAATGGCCCCTCCACTCTCCCCTACTCTTGATCCAGAAGTCAGAGCAAGGCTCTGGAGAGGGCAGGAAAACCCCATGAGGCCAAACCTTTCTCCAAGGAGAGTGGGGGGGATGAGTGTTCCTGCTCCTAGAGTCAGGGAATGCACTGACCACATGAAAAACTATGATGTCTTCTTTCCTGTGGGCAGACAGTGTAGGGCCATGTGAATGACCCTGCCTGGGGGACGTTGGGAAGGATGAAGGTGACCCTTCTCCATGCCTTTTACAAACAAACCACTGGCTGTGTTTTAAAAATGATTTACCAGTCTCCCTAGGGGCCCCTAAATACTGATGTTCATGCTCCAAGAGCAAGGTGCTGTGAGAGCACTGAGGTACTGCAGTGAGCCTGGTCCCTGCCCTTACTTCCAGATGCTACTGCCTGTTCTTGGGAGGACGATGAGCCTTAGTAGCCAAGGGGTAGGCAGCTCCGTGAGACAGTGCTAGTCTGAGCGTGTGGCAAGAATTAGTTTCCTTTCCCAGGAGAGGTCATCAGCCTTATGCAGTTCGAGTTCACCAACCTTGGCTGTAGGCAGGATAGCCAGGAGCCTCGAAACCATGTCTGGAGGACTTGGGGGCCTACAGTCTTATGCTCAAGCTCTCTGCTCCACAGAAGCAGGCATCATAGAGCGTAGGATGTAAAGGCCAGGAGTTCAAGCTGAGGGGCTGTTTGTTCCAAGATTGCCACTTCATTGCAAGGTGCATGGTTTCCTGGGGTTGCCATTGGGCAAGAATGAAGCCTCCCTTCCTGGAGATGTGTGAGCTCAGTGAGGTATGTTAGGGGCTTCTTTTCAATGTCCATTGATCAAATCTAGGACCTTCTATGCTGAGACAGTGTGTCCAGGAACCTGTGGTAGAGCTGGGTACAATGGCTCACGCTTTAATCCCAGTCTGGAGGCAGGGGTAGGATGGTCCTGGACAGTCTGACTTTAGCTTGGCCTACATAGTGAGCTCAGGTCAGCCAGGGCTGCACAGAAAGCCTGTCTCACGGGGCTTTTCCCCTATGTACTCTGCCTCAGAAACCTCCTGTTCAATGTGCCCAATCCCCAAATCAACATCAGCTACCCAACCCCTGCTGTCTCCCACTGACAACACATTTCAGAATCATCAGCTCTATGTCCCTGCCAAACCCAGTCACTCGGCAGCCCCAGACTTGGGGTGCCTCCATCTGCACTCCTCAGCTTGCCCATATTTGGGTCATCCCTGATGAGTCTGCACCCCTCCTCTATCCATTTCCCTCTGTGTCCCATAATTACCTACAGAGGAAAATTTGGGGGGAGGGCGTTGGGGACCATGAGGAAGGAGCAGCAAGCAGCTTTGGAACTGGTAAGCCTCGCCAGCGACCAGCACAAACACGCTGGGTGGGCTTTGGAGAGGCAGAGCCGCAAGGATTACATCTCCTGAGGACCTTGTGCTGTTATGGAGCATAGCTCTTTAACGCCCTTGAGGTCACCACATCCCTCCTAATCTGTGAGCTGTACGAGAACTCTCAGGGGTGTCCAGCCTCTCGCTGGGCAGAGTCACTGGTACTTACAATAATAGTGATTTTTTCCAAGCA